TTATCAATAACAGAAGGTAACTAAATATACTACAATCTACTGTCATGAAATAGTCGTTTAAGCTATGAACCAATCAATGAAGTAATAATAATCGTGGAAAATAAACTTTACGAGATAATGAAAAATAAATTGCTGATTTATGGAAATTACCTGACGTCAGAAACTACTACCATGTGCTCACAATTTCCTTGGTGCACAAAATAATACGGCTTTCCAACGTGAACGACAAGGTCCCCTATCAAAGTAGATTCAGCGCTTCGAGAAGAAAATTTCTTTTCGTCCTTATTTTTGGTATTTAGCCAATTAACTATGCATCTATGGGGAGTTAAAAGTGTGTGACTTACTCGGAGAGACTTGAACTTCCAGGGCTTCGTAAATCATCATAAAATATGTGCTCTATGTAAAAATATGAAGAGCTATACACATTATCGGCTGGAATATGCAACTCTGAACTGTCGAGAGCTTCACTACAGTCACCAAGCCATACCTTCAAAAAAGTAGAGGAATTAAATGAGTAACCTTGTCTTGGGGGCAGCGTATAGCGTCTCTAAGTTGAGCTAAAGTCTGATCTGATAAAATCTCTACCCGTTGACTTATACTCAAATTCCTATTCTGTAAAAAGTATAAGAGGAAAACAGTCTTACGCTTGAATCCGCTGCAGAAACTGGTTTGTAGATTAAAATAGTAGCTACAATCGCCTTTAGCATAGTCTGAGCTTCGGGTGATTCGTCAATGGAATTTAGATAGGACATGTCGATATCAGGCTTATGCACAGACTTCGAAGCATTGGGAGCGTATACAGAAAGCCTAGATGATTTTTGAAGTTCACTTAATGTTTTGAGTTGACCTAATGGTTCTGGTCTATTAGGAATTACTTTCAGGAGTTCCTCTAATGAAGACGCTTCACCATCAAAATAGAGGTGAGAAAGACTAGAAATGAGATAAAACAGAGCTCACTCGCAATCGCGCTTTAGTTCCATATATACAGCCTCATCGCGTATGAGAGCAATCATCTCTTGATCTACGTATTTCTCACGCTCCTCCTTGTCAAAAATAAAAAAATCATCTGGAACAGGTTCGGTGAAAAGCTCATTTAGTTCACATATCTTAATTTCTGGCACATTTTCAACGCGAAAAGACAGGGATTTATTTGTTGGACGCTTATCAGGTGAATTCATACTACGCAAAACCAAAATGTAAGAGCTCATCTTTTTAATAATTCAAAATATATTAATATATTAAAATTACTTTATTTTTACACTAAATATGTATGGTTTTAATATACGCATCAAAGCCGCGTTGCTTGCTTTCCTGTATTACCATTGTCATTGGCCGTTTATTAAGTCAATATGACTGAAATATCCGTCCAAGTATTACAGGATGAAATTATGCAGCTACAAAATTCATTGAAAGAGGCTATTCAAGAGAAATATGAGGCTGCGCAATATGGTTTAAGGCTTTTAGAAGACAAACAAGCCTTGCAGACTCAAATAGATGACTCAGAAGGCAAAATGGAACATTTATTAAGAGAGCTGGAACTTACCAAGGCTGTAAGCACAGCATTTTTTTACGACGTATCTAGAAATTATCAGAACAGAGCATAATTCAAAGGCGTCTGAGTGAGGTTGGCTTTGCCGAAGAGCAGGATATTCTCACGGAATCAGCTAATAGAGAGGTCCAGCTTATTAACCAAATTCAGGACTTAGAATTTGAGCTCAAAAATGTAAATATGTCTTATGAGAGGCAGATGGCTGAGAATGATAAAGCACATCAGAATATTTTAGACATACAGGTTAAGCTGACTGATGCGGAGAAACTTAAGCACGAACAAAAACAAGAACTTAAGGAAATAAAGGCTAAAGAAATGAGAATGATGGCTGAATATGAGGAACTTGAGTCAGAGAATCTTGAACTCCAAAAAAATATACTTGCATTAAAGACCACTCAAGTATACCTAATATTGGTAATTTTTTAGATCGAATTCGAAAGTCTTAAGCATGACCTCAAGAGGTATCAAGAAGAAAATGAAATTATTCATGCACAGCTTGAGGAATGCACCAGGCTTAAGCGTATGACCGAAAAATCACTGGAAGAAGCCCTGGAATCGCTTCAAATTGAACGCGACCAAAGACATAACCTTAAAAAAGAACTAGATAATCGTATAAATACGGAATCAATGCTACATCTTAATAATTTGCATCACGATATTCGTTTTACAGGCGGACATGGCCTGAGTGCACGAAAAAATCAAAATTCCTTCGCACAGAACCTTGATGACAGTCACATCACACATGGTATTTTCGCTAGATTCTTATCGCGATCACACTCTTAT